GTCTTATAGTATTCTTCAAATATTCTTTCTATCTCATCTGGCTCATATAGTAGTTGGTTAGTTTGGGGGTCCCTTGTTCTATGAATTGTATTAGAGGCTTGCTGTTTGCGCAGGCGTCTAGCCAGGAGTCTAGCTGCTTTTGAGCCTGATTCATAATAAGACTGCTTTAAAAACCTTGCCTTTTTTTCTATTTCTCCTCTAAGGATCTCATTTATCTCCCCCCTTGTTTCCTTAATTTGTTGTAATGCCGATTGATCCCCTGTCCTCTTATGTTTTGTCTCCATTTCTCTCAATTTTTCTATTTTGTATTTGTATGTGGCTAGCCGGGCCTTTTTTTGTGATGCTGTTAGGGCGATCAGCTTTCCACGGAGAACAGCCTTCAAAGCATCCCACAGTATCCCAGGGTCCACATCCCCATTATCATTCTCCTCTATATATATTTGTATCTCTTCCCTTAACTGTTCCACGGTCGCCTTATCATTCAAAACACCCACATTGAGCCTCCACACTGTATTCTTTTGTCTACTGTTCAGATTTATTGACAAGCTAATCATATTATGATCCGAAACATCTGCCACCCCGATTTTACTCTCTGTGATCCTGTGACTTTCACCCGTATTTATTAAAAAGTAGTCAATTCTGGAGTACACAGAATGGGGCACTGAATAGTGTGTATAATCCCGTTCTAGGGGGTGAAGTTCCCTCCAAATATCAATTAGTCCCATTTCCTGCACTGACGCATTAACAAACTTGGTCAGGTGCTTCTTGCTATTTTTGTGACTTGTAGTGTCTATGGTATGATTCAGGACCACATTAAAATCCCCTCCACATATCAAAATACCCTCAGTCTCTAATGCAATGACGTCAAACAGATTTTTAAAAATAGATTTGTTACTCTCTGGGGGGGGCATATACATTGACCAATGTCACCACTGCATTTTCAAGCTTTCCTTTCACTAATATATATCGTCCCTCTTTGTCCCTAACTTCTTTATGGAGTTCAAATTTAACTGCATTTGAAATAAGGATAGCCACTCCCCTCTTCTGGCTAGGTTTGTAAGAACTATAGAACGTATTTTTAAAACCAAAGCGTTTTAATTTTTCATGCTCCTGTTGAGGCAGATGAGTTTCTTGTAAAAATAGTACTTGGGCCTTTTCTTTTTTCAATTTAGCCAGGACCTTGCTCCTTTTAACTGGATTATTCATCCCATTTACATTAAGTGACACCACTTTTATATTATTGTACGGCATTTAAATTACCCAATCCTTTGCATTCACAAAACTCCAGACAACTGAAAACTACACAGACCTGAACATCTGGCCCACATGTAGTGAACGTAGAACGTAAAAAGAAAAACGTAGACTTCCAAGGTAGGGTGATTCCTCGCCACCCTAAGTCCCCGTTGGCAGGTAGAGGGGAGAGCCTCCTCCTGAAGGGCCCCTCACTAGAGGTGAAACACGCAGTCTCACGCATCCTAGTAGTCCAACAGCATCTGATAGCATTTATATAATCCAAATGAAGTCGTGACAAATATATACAGTGAATATATAATATGAATCAGTTAGTCCCGGGAGGGATCCGCTCATACTCTTGTAGCCTCTTCCTTACTCTGCTCGCGGTCTCGTCCCCACCTGCACTACTCTCTCCGACGCGCTGCCATGTCTTGGTCTGGTGGAGACGCTCCATCTCCGGGTACAGCTCCGAAGCGTTGCGGTCTGGTATCTCCACGGAGAAACCTCTCCTCCTCAGCTCCTGCGCTGCATCTTGCGCACTGTCGTATGTGCGTGTTCCCGAGTCCCAGTGAATACGCATCCTGTCAATAGGTGTCTGAAAACGTATATTTTTCTCTTTAAGGACCCTCTTTATTCCCACGTACGCCTTGCGCTTCAGGACGACCTCCGTTGCATAGTCGTGATCGAACGATAGACGTCGCCCTTCCATCAGTATCTTTTTTTCCCAGGCCTTTTTCAGTACCCTTTCTTTGGTGTTAAACTCCAGAAAGTTCACCACTATGGACCTTGGCGGTGCATTCCTTTCCGGTTTGCGAGCCACAGCTCTATGGGCGCGTTGTATCTGTAGGTTGGTGTCCGGTAAAGCGAGTTCAGTTTTCAAAAGTTGATCCACAAAGTCAGACATGGAGTTACCTTCCTTCTCTTCGGGTACTCCATAAATGCGCATATTATTTCTCCTGGATCGACCTTCCAAATCCACCAGTTTCCCCTGCATGGCTCTCTGTTCTTTCATTGATTTAATCAACGCATCTGACAGAGCCATGTTTACTGTCTCCGCCTCATCGATTCGTTCCTCCGCTTCTTTCAGCCTAGTTTCGTGGGCCTGGGTTAGCGCGGAGTTAGCAGAAAGTTTTTGGTAAATTTCCTGCTTCATATCTTCGAGTTCAGATTTCATGTCCCCCTTGATTTCTTCTTTAAGTTTGTTTAAGTCCACTTTATGCTCAGCCCTGAAATCGCGTATTTCCTGGAGCACTGAGCGCATGGTGTCTGCCGAGTCCTGTTGTGAGCTAACGGAGCTAACGGAGCTTTGAGCATCTTCCATCTCCGGTGAATTCTGTCTTTCTAGTTTGTCACCTTTCTTTTGACTTCTAGTTCTCTTTCCCCCTCTCATTCCAATAAAATTACATCGATTTGTATATTATTTGGCGAGTTAAGGGGGTTGATTTCCAATCGCTATCGAGAGCTAAAAATTAAGCAGCCATCTCACTCGCCTTGCTCACCGGAAGTCCAAATGTTATGTTCTTAAAGGTCCCATGTCATGCTTTTCTGGTTATTACCCGTCCCCTTGTGTTATGTAGCTTTTTCTGCATGTGAACGGTCTGCAGAGTCACAAACCCTCAAAGTACACCCTGTAGCGAGTAAAACTCTAACACAGAGTAACGACGACCGAAATGGACCAATCCGCGGAGCCGTCACGTTAAGGGAAGAGCTAACAATTAATAAAATATCGCGGTCCAAATGGACCAATCCACGGACTTCCTCACTTTCTCCCCCCTTAGATGGCGGGACGCGGCGAGGCTCTGAGTCTGTGTGTGTGTGCTCACACACAGACTCACAGCCAGGCTGCGGCTGTGTGTGTGTGTGTGTGTGTGTGTGTGTGTGTGTGTGTGTGTGTGTGTGTGTTTGGGCTGGTTTCGGGCTGGGTTTCGCTGTGGCTCAGTGTGCTGTACTTCAAATTAGGGGGTAGCAAGTTCGAGTCCCACTGCAGTCAGCATGTCTTTCACCTCAAATGGCTCCTGTGGGGATTGTCCACAGTACTGAATGCATGCAAGTCGCTTTGGATAAAAGCGTCTAACAAATGACATGTAATGTAATGTGTCTCGCCGAGCCCACGCAGCAACCAGGAAACCACACCAGTAACCCAGCTCACACTGTCCGCTCCTCGCAGCAGCGAGCCCCGCAACATCCCGCCAACACGGCACCCAGACCCACGCAGCATTCTCATCCGTTTGTCATTGCTGGTGTCATTTCCTGGTTGCCAACGCCACTGTAACACATAATCAATGATGTTCCGCTGTAACGGTGGTGGACTCATCCGAACAGAGTGGGCGAGCTGACCAATCAGAGCACAGTGGGCTCACAGGGTGGGGGGGGGGGGCAGGAGCTCCAACAAGGCGTGTAGGACAGAGAGTGAATACACATACTATACAGACATGCTGTATGAGAAACCAATGTGAGTTTGGAACATTGAACAATGTAAATCTATTCTAGTAGACCTCAACAATGGAAATATGATCAGTAGAAATGGCCATGACATGGGACCTTTAAATGTTGTATGTGAGGGGATGGAAATTAGCTCAAAGCTAAAAATCCGGCATATTTATTACACTTGAAGCATTTTTTGTTTTGGGTGTTCATTAATGTGCATTGTCCCTGCCAAATAAACGATTAAATTAAATATATTTGACAGTCTTCTGATATCTTCCTCCCTCATTATGTATATATTTAACTTTAAATGTCTATTTTATTTTGTCTATTTTAAGATGTTTATATTTGTTTGTTTTCTACTCATTTTCACATTATTTGCAAATGTGGTCTTTTAGTTTTATGCAATAAACTTGATTCTGAAATGTAGAAAATATCAATTAATGTCCCAACATGTTTAAAGGAGATTGCCCAGTTAAGGGTTCATTTAAAGGGAAATCAAATATGTCAGACAAACTGCAGCAAATGTAAACCTACATAACTTCTGTAATAACAGTGTAATGGGATACAAATTAAATATAGATGAATACACATGTCTGGAGGCGTGTGGCGCAGTGGCCTAGTGCGTTGGTGTTCGGATCAGGGGAGCACAGGTTCAAACCCCACTGCAGTCAGCATGTCGTTGTGTCCCTGAGACACTTCACCCCAAAGTGCTCCTGTGGGGATTGCCCACAGTATTGAGTATGTAAGTCGCTTTGGATAAAAGCGTCTAACAAGTGACATGTAATGTAATGTCTGCACAGCCCTCCACTTTAAAATATAATACACTGTTGTCATATATGCATTGTCCCAAGTGTTTTAGTTTTAGGCAATACACTTGATTCTGATATGTAGAAAATTTAAATAAATTTCCCCAAATGTTTACATGAGATTCCCCATTTCAGGGTTAATGTAAACCTTAGACAACAAGTTAAATTAAATATGTCAGAGAAACCATAGCACATGTCATGCTACTTGGTAATAAACCCAGTTCTGATCCTGAACAAACCCTGTAATAGGCGTAAACATGTGGAAAATATCAATTAATTCCCCAAAATGTGATTGCCCATTTAAGGGTTAAGTTAAACATTAAACAACACGTGAATTAAAACCATGTCAGTGTGAGATCTGACGGTTTAAATGTCAACTGTTGTTTTTTTTAAATGTCAACTGTTGTGTCATCGGCAGCAGCTGCTGAGCTAACACCGCTAGCCACCTGCGAGCTAACAGCACCTCATAAAACCTATAAACATCAAACCGTGGGTTTAGTTAAACATGTGGGGAAAACAAGGGGAGTTTGTTAC